GGAGCGGGCCGCCAACCGCGAGGAGGCCCTCGAGTGGGAGTTCTGAGTCCCCCCCGCCGCCCTAAATATATATATACACACCCACATATATATATATATTTTGTTAAATGCAGTGCGCACCGAGAGGCGACAGGCAGCCGGCGCGACGGAGGGGAGCACCCATGGAAAGGGGGGGGCCCCCGCTACGAAGCTGCCCCCCTGCTTTGTTTTAAATGTGAAAAACTGGGAACAATTTTAGAAAAGAAAAGAAAAAAAACAAAAAATATTTATAGACCTCTTTTAGATATTTTAATAAAAGGATACTTTGGAATTTATTAACAGCTTAAGCTGCTTTGATATTAAAGATAGCTATAAAATCAAGATGATGTAGCAGTCGTGTCATTAAATGTACACTGAAGTCTTGTAGTTTGCCACTGGATGAGATTAAAAACAAACAAACAAACAAACAAAAAAACCACAGAAAAGACTTATTGAGCAAAGCCATCAAGAAGCACTATGAGACTGACCAAATTTAATAAACTTTTGCCGAGCGGTTTCCACCTCTGTCTGTAAGACACTGCATCGCTTCTGCCCCAGCCAGAGACTGCGTCATAGTCCCTGAAGACTCTAAAGCGAAAACCTTGATGCCATCGAGTATGTATTTAGTTCTGGTGGTTTATGTTTTTTGAAACCTTTGTAACACAGAGTGTCCCGTGCGGTTGTATATGTTGTAGAAATGTCTGCAATAGCCTTCTGGAACAAGATGTAGCATGGTCCGAATGCCGTCTCTCGCGCTTCCTCCAGCCAGCAACCGGTGGCAGCCCCGATACGGCACAGTGCAGCTCCTGCCAGCTCCCAAAGGAAGAGAAAAAATAATGCAAAAGTAAAGAAAGCAACCTGTGCTTGCGTTTTTGGGAGCAAGATGGGAAGAGGTACCTGGGTGTGATGCTTGGGGATGGCTCTGGCTCGCTGGGGATGGACATCCATGAGATCCCTGTGCTCTGCCGTCATCCATTTGGGAAAGAAAAAGAGATGGAGCCTCCGAGATTTGCCCCTGGGGCACCAGTGCTTGGGGACGAGTACCCAAAAATCATGAGCTGCCTGCTCGCAGGGAGCCGACCCCTGCTTGGGGCTGCTCCCAGCATCACAGCCAGCTCTTGCGGATGAAGCACTTTTTTTTTAGGGATAGTGCCCAGGCAGGAGGAGCATCCCCTCACCGCGGCCGTGTCCCCAGGCGGTAGCTGCCAGTGAAGCCGGGATGAGCCCCAGGGTGTCACGCCAGGCTCCTGCCTGAATTGGGCAAGCTCAGACCCGAGTTGGGCAAAGCACCATCGAGCTTTGGCTTTCCAGGGCTGACCCCGTGCAAAGGCGCAGGAGCTCAGCGGTGGCACCATCCCGGCGTGCTCCCTGCCACCTCTGCGACCCCACCACCGCCAGCCGGCCTCTGCTAACAAAATGCCTTTAAACGATGCGGGCTGGCCCGTGCTGGGCTGCTCTGCCCTGTCCCCTGCCCACAGCATCAGCCATCACCCACCAAGGCCACCGCTGTCAGGAGGGCTCCCCTGCCAGGCTCTGAGGCTATGCATTGACTGATTTTCCACTGTATACATTTTTATCAGAATAGAAGGTATTTTTATATTTGGGTGGTAGTCGATGAGCGCTGCTAAAAGCGGCTCTGCAAAGGCACGGCTCTCCTTGCCCGCCTACCCTGCCCCAGTGAGCCCCAGCTTGCCCATGGCCGCTCTTTTCCCTGCCACCGCGCTGCAGAAGGTCGAGGCGCGACCATTGACTGCTCTTCTCCGTCGTGTGCTAGCGGGAGCTTTAGTGGAACGGGATTCGAGGAAGCACTTAGGATAGTCTTGAACACAGCAATCCTGTTGTATTAAAGCTAGCGGGACATACCGGTCACGTTTTTGTTAGGCTCATGTACTGTACTTCAAAAGTTTCTATGAGATCGATGAACTTTGTTTAACAATTTTGGAAGGAACAAGTTCTGTAAAGAGCCACTAAATACAGAAGTTGGATACGACTCTGGCCTTGGGGTGTGTTTTGTCCAGAGGCAGCTGGGATGGGAGCTCCTCTCGCCGTTGCCTGACGCCTGGGTTGATGTCGGCTCCCTTGGAAGTCACAGCCTTGCTTTGGGTTTATGGCAAGAGCTCTCACTGCCATAAACGCCTCCCGGTGATTTGGGGAAAAAACAGGGTGTTAAGTGGGGTTAGTCCAGCTCAGGGTGCAATCCTGCTCCGTGAAAGTCCTGTGCTCATCCCTGGTGCAGGTTTGCTCCTGCCCCTGGGGTAACGGCATCCTCTGGTGTGAGGTTTGGCTCGGCATTGCCAGATGGCACCGCACCGTGGCACGGCTCTTCTTCAGAGCTAGCCATCGCCGGGCAAGTTTGCAGCTTCTGACACAAGGCGGGGGCGTTTGCGTTTGATGAATTAATAAATCCATATGTTGCGTATCTGTTTAAGCTTGTTTGTCGGCTAACATGTTGGGAAGGATTTATTTTTAATGAATATCTGAATGTCTGGAGAAGCTGGGCCAGCTGCCATGGAAACCGGAATCTTCCTCTGCAGCCGACTGATGGGGCCGCGTTAACCATCTGGATGCTGCGGGTGTAGCTGCACCCCGGCTGCCCTCAGCGGCATCACTCTAACTGCCAAAACACGTAGCGGGGTGCCATGCCTGGCCAGGAGCAGGGCTGCACGCTCTACACTGCTCTCGGTGAGTGAGTGACCCTGACTGGCTTTGAGCCTCAGTTTCCCCAAGAGGTGTCCCCCCCCCAACCCGCTGCAAGACTCCCGTGTTAGCAAGAAGCTGGAGATGTTCATGCAGGTGGGATGTCGGCGGGCAAGGATGCGGGGACATGTTGGTCACTTCCACAAGGGCAGGGTCCCCAGTCCCTCTATAGCACCGACACTGGCCCCAACAAAGGGACAGGTATTTTGTCCCTGGCTAAGGCCCCTTGGCAGAGGGCTGGGGACATCCCACCGAGGGCGCAGGACTACCTGACCAGGGGCACCCAAACCTGGGTGGCATCATGTGGTGCTGCTTGTAACCTGGGATTTGGAGGGATGGTTGTAACATCCCATCGAGCCTGTAACGCACCAGCAACTCACGCCGGGGCACCCAGTGCCATTTCCACCAGTGAAACTGTGGGAGGGTTGTGCTCCCAATCAGTCTTCCAGCTCTTTTCCAATGCCCAAACGCCTGTGTTGGTCACCTGTGCCTGGCTGTTCAAGCTGTCACGGAGGGAAGAATCGTGCTGTCCCTCCTGTGGGACCACGCTGGCACTGTGTCCTGATGTCCCCAGGGTGGCATCATCTCATCTCATCTCATCTCATCTCATCTCATCTCATCTCATCTCATCTCATCTCATCTCATCTCATCATCTCATCTCATCTCATCTCATCTCATCTCATCTCATCTCATCTCATCTCATCTCATCCCCTCCCATCCCATCCCATCCCATCCCATCCCATCCCATCCCATCCCTGTGGGCAGATGTGGGACTCCAGGGCACTGTGAGACCCTGGCGTTGGCCCTGTCCCATTCAGGCGACACAGTCCTTGCCCAGCCCCACAGACATGGCAGGGACAGGAGAGGGATCAAAATGAGAGGATTAATTCCCACCTGGGCCCCCCTCCCCAGGGGCTTAAAGGTGCGAGAACTGGGGCCAGGAGGGAATTTCTGAAACAACTTTTATTGTAGCAAAATCTTGTGCCTGTCCCAAGGGGGCAATGGGAGCCGGAGCCACCCGGTCCAAACCCAGGGCACCCCAGCTGCTCCTCCCAGACCTGGGACAGGTCACCCCACCTCCAGGCCAGCAGCTTTAGTGTTGATATAAACCATTGGGTAAATAAAAGAGAAAAACCAGCATGAGACACTGGCTTCGCTCTGGTTAGGCACATGAATCATTCGGCACCCTCCACCGCTGACACATACATTCCCGTTCACCACCGTGAGTGATGCTTCCCCTTAGCGAGCTGGCACGGGGATGATGTCCTGCCCTGAAATATCTGCCCAGCAAGGCGGTGCCCACAGCCGCTGCTTTCCTCTCGGGTCTGCCACCGCCACGGGTTCACCAGCCAGGCTGCAATCAGCAATCGCCCTGCGTGAAATGCCCAGGGCCGGCTGTCACCAGCTGCCATTAAGGAAGGGCTGCACTTGCTGCTATTTTCATTTTCAAACCACATCCTGCTGGAGCAGAGAGATCCAGCAGAGCTCGGCAGAGCTCGGCCGACCTCAGCCTGTTGCTTGTGCCAAGCAACAACCAAGGTGGTAGCAGGCTCCCTGGCTGTGAAACACCCACACAGGGGCTCAGGCGGGTGAGATCCCATCAAAATCCTCCTCCAAAAGCATTCTTGGTGCATCGAGAGGCTCCACCAGACCCAGTGCAGCGGTTGATTCCCAGGAGGCATCGGCCATCAAGTGGTTCGTAGCTTGCTTGCGCTGGGTGGACCACCCGGCATCCACGCCTGGTCACAGCCGGAGGGGTGCACCCCTGCGGGGAGCACCCACTGCTCAGCACAAGATGCCTGAGAGCCTGGCAGCCCGGAGAGCCCGGGGGTTTCATGCCTGGTTGGTGGCACGCTGAGCCCAGCTGCCGTCGGTGCCAGGCTGGTGTTTTGCCATCACAAGCAGCACTGGTGTCCCTCAGCGCTGGGCCCTTGGTGGCACCATCAGCAGGTGTCCATCACCACCACAGACAGGGCTGCACATCCCGGGGTGAGGAGGGGACCGAGGCGGCACCAAGGGTGATCACTTCCTCCCTGCCACAGGTCCTGGTGGGTTCCCAGGGCTCGGACACCTCTCAGAGCCGGGGCCCACGCTGCCTCTCCAGCCAGTCCTGCTGCAGCCGGGCCACCTCCCGGCCATACTGCTCGTGGAGCTGGCAGAAGGTGGATGGGCTCTCCACTGTGGCCACCCCGGCACTGCCTGCCTCACTGCTCGCTGCCCGCCTGCGTGGTGGCAGTGGTGGTGGCCGCGGGTTCCCCTCACCGTCATGCCCGCTGCAGCTGGAGGTGTTGGGCAGCTGGTCTGCTCCTGGCACATTGTTCCACACCGCGCAGCCATTCTCCTTCGGCAGGACGGCAGGCAGAGCCGGCAGCCGCTCCGGGGGCCACTCTGGGCCCGAGGGGCTCCCCGTGGGGGCTTCGGCTCCCGGGAGCGGGGTGCCTGCCCCCAGCCTCCACATCCACTGGCAGGCCCCCAGCGCATCTCCTCCAGCTGCTTCTCCAGCTCCCGCACCACCAGGCGCATGTAGTCGAAGCTGGCTCGCGAGAGCGACTTCACCCACGACTCCATGGCGGCCTGGCTCTCGGCCGCCAGCACGTAGGTGCGAGACTTGGTGCCGCCAAAGCGGATGGCAAAGGTGAATTCCTCAGCTGAATCGCAGAGCTCCACGGTGCCACCCTCCAGCACGATGACGCCCACCGGCTCCCTGCTCTCCCGTTCCTCAAAGTAGAAGAGCATGTTGCCCTTCAGCACGAACCAGCGGCGATGGTACGCCGTGTGCCGCTCACCGCGCTTGTAGAGGAAGCCAGCGTTGTCGGCCGGGGAGTCGCAGGTGGCATAAAAGGCCAGGCTCCGCTCGTTCAGCTTCATGGCTCCGTGCCCTGCAGGAAAAGAGGGTTCTCAGCTGCCCGCTGGCACGTGGAGGACGGGTGCGTCTTAATTGCACAGTAATAAGACATTGGCTTTTTGTTCCCGGTGGCACTGGCCCTGGCGCCCAGGAAATGGACCCGGTGAATAAACAGCCCCGTGATCGCAGCCGGGATAACCCCGCTCCCAGTCAAGGTGCTGCATCCAGCGGGTGCCAAGAGGGTCGGGGCTCCCCGGGGCTCCCTGAGGAGGGGGCTTCCCCCCAGCTGAACGTTTCCCCACAGAGGAGCCTCAGACAGGGCTCATCCTGCTGCCCCACGTCACCCGGTGCAGGTGACCTTAACGCCGACGCCGTGTTTGCTCTGAGTCGCGGCGCTCCTCCCCGCAGCACGCAGGGAGGGTTTATGGCCTGTGCCGCAGATCCGGCTGCCGCTCCGGGGAGCTGTGGCCATGGACTGTGTCACCCAGGCAAGGCCACCTCACCCCTTGTCCCCTAATCACCGGTGGCCTCACCGTGCCAGGCTTTCTGCCTACCTGGACTCTGCCTGTAGCTCCGGTCTCCGGTGGCCACCAGCAATGCGCAAGTGGCCGTGGCGGCCGTGGGAGCGCTGGATCCGGGGTCAGATGGTGTAAGGGGGTTGTGGGGACCAGCACCCCAGTGTCCCCGCTCCGGCCGCTGGCTCTGGCTCCGAAACGCCTGCGAGTTTCACACGTCACCCCAGCCTGCGGAGCAGAAGGCGGACATGCGCCAGGATTATTATTTTCCTCTTAAGCCACATCGCAGGGTTCAAGGAGATGAGACGGGGGCTGTCGGGGTGCCAGGGGGCAGCGGGGACCCCTTTCCCCCAGGCAGCTCGGGGACCTCTTTGGGGGTCCCCAAAGTCTTGGGGCCGTTTGGGAGCGGGGGAGCCATCCTGCCCCGGCCCCGGGCGGCCCCGCT